CGGGCCCCTCATGACAACAACTGTCTGGCGGCAGAATACTCTGATAGAACACGCGATCACGCGCATGCTCGACTGTCCGAAACCTGCCACCCAACGAACATAGTCCGTGGAGACAGCCCACTCACTGATCTGCTTCGATCGTCCTTCATTTTTCAGCGGCCGTCTCGCATTTGAACGCATCGTGCGCGATATGCGGGCCAGTGCATCTCTCTCTTCCTGGTGGGCTGCGTCGCATTGGCGAACACAGTTCGCGAAATGCGCGTCAGTCGTTGCTTTCGCGAGCACAGTCCTGACATGCGAATTCGGCTGGTTTGCGCGGTCTTCGTTGAGGTCGCTGTGGCGGGAGCTTGGGACGTCTTCTAGTGCCGTTCCTCGCTCAACCTCTCTGCGGGGTGCGTGTAGGCGAGCTTCCCCGCCAAGATGTCGAGGATGAGGTCGAGGCCTGTATTTCCCTCCGTCATGGGGTCGGCCCTCATGTCGCGGGTGTCGCGCCGCAAAATGTTGGATACCTGTTTGGTGCGCAGCTGGTCCGCTAGCCACCATAGGTAGCCTGCCATGCTATCTCTGATGACGACCGCGCGTGGTCCATGGCCAACGCGAAGAAGACGGACATGCCGTCAACGACCACCGCGGCCGGCACAGCGTAGCCTCTCTCCTCCCCCAGCCTCCTGATCTCGTCTGCTTAGACAAATCCGCGCACCATCTCGAAGAGCGTCGGGGGGTGCGTCTGCAGGCCGTCTGCTGCCCCACATGCTGCGAGCAGCTGGGAGCCAAGGGATAATCGACGCACAAATTGGTGCGATCGGCTCGCAGCATCGAGCGAGTCGCAGATCTTTTATGTCACCGATGCTGCGGCACATGCCCAGACGCGTTTAAGGCGCCACGCATGCCGCATCCTGTCTCCTGCCCGCGCTTGAACGAGCCGCCGCTGTGCGCGCAGACCTGGCCCGCGCGCTCCATCGCTGAGAAGGCGGCGCGCGCCTTGATTTTCTGCGCGGCCAGAACCGCAGAGTTGAGCTGCATCGCATGTCCGATGAGCAGCTCATTCTCGGCCCGACGCAGCGCGACAACGCAGGCGGCAACGGGGCGTTGCAGGCACAGCGCGTAGGCGGCTGCTCCGAAGACGGAGACAAAGAGGTGCGGGAGTCGACCTCCGGGCGGCTCGCCGGCCTTCGACGTAACCAGGTCGACGTGCCTGAAAGGGATGGGCGCGTCGAGTTACTCGTCCTGGCCGAGCGTCATTGCACCGTGGGCACTGCGGTGATGGTAGACTCCGCATGTGGCGAAGTCGCCGGTCCCCTCCATTTTGCCGAAGACGCTCTCGATGCGGCCGATGAGTCAGTCAACGTGCAACTTGCGCCGTGGGATCGCCCACGCGCCTGGACAGCAGGTGGACTAACCCTGTGCCGCCAGCACCGCAAGTGCTGGACGCCTCGGGCGCGGCCTCGACCTCATGGCTCCACCGCGTCGGCTCGGCGTTGCACTCGGGCGAGCGCGCGACCGTGGCGAGGTTCGCGGGGATGGCTCTCTGCGCGCCAGCGCCGCCCGCGCCCGGCTAGGTGCAGCGCGGGCGCTCGGTCCGCCCGTCAGAAGTCTTAAGACTCGCAGCCTGGAACCTGCCAGAAGATGGCAGCACTGCCGGGCGGCAGGGCGAAGTTCGCCACTCGCGGCGCTTCGCCCTGCCCCTGCATCTCGGCGCAGGTCGCGCCTTGCAGGGGAACCCCCTCGACGTCCACAGCGACGAGCGCCCGGTCTGGGCGGCGAGCCGACTCTGAGGACAGCGCGCGCTAGGGCGCCCGCTTCGCCGCGCCGTAGAACGCCAAAGGCTACGCCTCCCATGTCGCGGAAGCCTCTCAGCGCCGCGCGGCGCCAGGTGATCCCGGCCGTCTGGCCGCGCTGCCCCTTGCGGCGCCTCCGCTGGAACGCGCGTCTGGAGCCCGCGAAATTCCGCGCGCCCTCGAGAGGTCGTCGCTCGAAACGTTCGTGTGTGACCCACATCGCGAGCTCCTTGGGGATGGCGGTGGCCACCTCCTTGGAAAGCCTCGACACCACCTCTTCAGATAGAAGACCGGCGTCGCGCGTGATTGCCGCGGCCTCGACGGCGGCGCGTGCTTCAAGCGCGGCTGCGGCGGGCGCTCAGACAACATAGTTGCCTTCGTGGCCGCTCGGGGATGCTTCTAGAACTCTTAGGGGGCCCACAAAGGACGCGCGCGCCCAACTACGCACATGAACGCGGCCCCTCGATCCGCGAGACCCGCCGCGCGATGCAAACACTCGCGCAATGCGCGCTGTCGAAATCAGCGTGGATCCACGCACGTGCACCTCCTTCTTTCGCTCCTGAACCCCGGGGCCAAGGTGCAGATCCACGTGCTCTCCCCCTTTCATCCTCCGCCACAACCTCGGCGTAGTCGTCTAAACAAGCGCCGCGCAGGTAGCAGCGGCGCTGCGAATGGATGTGCCGACGCGGGCGCCGCGTCTCCAGGCGTGCCTGGGTCACTCGCGTGGCCGGCGACCTATGCTGCCGACCGCGTGCTCGACGGCGGCGTAGACAATCTGCTGGCTGTCGGTGCTCTCCGGCTCGCGTAGACCAAGGGTCAGACCTTTCGCGCCGTCGGCTTCCCGCCAAGCTGCCAGCGGCACCTGCTGAACGTGGCCGAAGAATTCGCGGTCGGCCTCTTCGGGAATTATCGACAGGCCCTATGGGGGACCGCCCTGGGTGGCACTGGCGGCGTTCGCATGGGCGTCGATAGCGTAGTCGTCGACGGCCCGGCCCTGGCCCTGCCCGGCGCCGACTGCCAGCAGCTGTCTGTTCGTCGCACGGGACAACTGGTTGATGAGAGCGCCCCTCCAGTGCTCGCCGACGCGAGCGTCGCCCGGGTTCCGA